ATCGAGACGCCCCCCGCCTGGACTACATTTCAATGAATCAGCCCATTGTTTCTCAATTCAAATAACCAACAACCCTCACTCTATTCTCACCTTTTGATCCTCCAGTCAACCTAAAAGGCATCAGTGATCTGATCACTCCAAATATCTCCACAGACAGGGAGGTGTACACTTTGCCAGTGTTAGGGTCTGGCCTCAGTAACTCTAGAATCTTCCCCCTTGACACAATCAGCTCCTGCTGCTTGGTTCCTGAGAAGTTGCCATGCACAGCATGTGTGATGCCAGTCGAATGCTGCAGGGTCAAATTGTACAGATACATCTTGGATAATTTTCTGTAAGAAAAGAGATTTTTAATCGTAAATTATTTAATTGCTGAATTGCAGGACATTGCACTAAAAAATTCATCAATCTAGATTTCAAAATTTCTGAACCCATTAATGAATGTCACTAAGATTTGATGGACCATGAATCCAACTTTACAAGTAAAGAGTACAATGCAGGTTTGTCAACATAATAATGTGAAGCCGGTTGAAGACAGTAAAAGAAATAACGAATCATCGCAAATTGCAAATTAATCACAGGGTACGAAACAACAGAAAAATATAAAACTTCAGTGACCCTGCATTTTAAATATTATATCATTTTCATTTAACGCCCTCTGTTAGATTTGATGGGCATGCAACCTAGTAAACAATAGTGTGCAGGTGCCCGCCAAGGACCATCACGAAGTTGATGGCAATACTGTGCAAAAAGTACCCCTTGAAAGATCTTGATACATTCTAATTATTATCATTAATGTTGCCTTAATCAACCTATGTCGTAATATATGGAAGATGCGTTTCTGATAATCAGATTTTAACCGATTATTATCAAACTCACCAGCGACGTTTTAATCCAAGATGGCGTCCAAACAGGAAGCAACCCCACAATGCAATAACGAACATGGCAGCGCCCGGCGGGCTGGGTGCCACGTCCACTATGCAGCTCCAAAATGTGCATAATTTGACGAATATAGAAGATATGCAAAAGGCATTTGCACAGCTATGTTCAGAGGAGGTAATAGAGAAATGAAATAAACAATTTTTACTGTCATTTTCCTTAGTTTTTCTTAGTAAGTAGAGTTAAATGTTGGACCGGCAGTTTCATTTGCACGTACATCTCTCTTCTCTACTAGTACTGCTTTTTAATTGTCAATGTCTTTTGTGTGACGAGGAAGTGCCATTTGTTTAACGATTCAGGTTAAATTAAGACGATGTCTCGTTTGATTATTACCTGCATTTACTTTTGTAAAAACTTGTCTGTCTTTTGGATGTACATGGAATGTATCGGAGTTAGGGGGGCGGAGAGGAGAGAGGGGGAATTTTCTTGTCATATGACTTCATTCAAGAAAACTGTTTATTCTTTTGTCTAACAACATCAATCATTCATTAAAAAGTGTGATGGAAGAGGTTGTTTTGGGTACTTAGGCTTAGAGATTTTCAAAATACAATTAATGAGACATAAGCATTTTATTCTAGGAATCTTTAAACCAAGAACTGGAAGATCTTCAGGAGCACCAGACAGCAATTGAAACAAAAATGCTTAGTTTACACAAAATGCTGTATGTAATGATTTGGATCATTCCCAGTCCATGCATTAAGACCACTTTCTAAATGAATTCTGTTGATGTGCAATTGTACCATGCACATGCACAGACCACATAGTCTAAAATATAACTGTATAAATAAATAAGGAATAAAATTTAAAAAACATTATAACTAAATAGCTGTAGAAGTAATCTACATAATGAGAAAAAAAAAGCATTAAAAAAATTGCATTGAATTGTGATTGCCTTATGATGTTTTTTTCAGTCCCAATCTGCAGTTATTACACACAGACTCTCGTCAATTATCCAGCATGGTTTCCTTCACCTCGACACTGGCGGAAAATGTCAGTGGGAAAGTACGGCAGTTAGATCTGGCCAAGGTAGGCATTGCAAAAATCACTCAATAAATCAAACAGCATAAACTAATAGAAAAATACCAGCATAAACGTATGACATCTATATCTGGCCGAGGTAGGCATATAAGGTAATCACTCAATAAATCAAACAGCATATTAAATGAATTTTAAAAAACCTGCAGCAATGTATGGCAGCTAGATAAATCAAACAGCACGAAATTAATAAAAGATATCTGCAGTGTATAATCATGATTAGAAATGAATTTTTTGTGACACTAGCTGAAAATGTCAGAGGGAAGGTACGGTAGCTAGATCTGGCAAAGGTATAAGCATGTACAGTAATCACTCGAACATTTCAACAGCACACAATAAATCAAACATCATGAATTACTACCCCCTCCCCCCTTTCCAACCAAATGTCTTGTGCTAGTAATACTTAAAGTATTGATAATAAGTCTTACAACATTTAGTTTTGTTCCCAAATAATTACTGTTAATAGTGTTTGGAAAAAAAAAAAAATAAAATTTTAGAAAAAGTGAAGGGTTCAAAATTTTTAAGCAACACACCCACTAAAGAATGTTTAATGTTATAGCGAAGCAGATGAGAGAGAGAGAGAAAGAGAGGGGGGGGGGAGAGAGAGAGAGGTGGGAATTTGAGTTTAAAAAGCCTTTCTTGATGAATAAACATACATTGAATCATGTGTGAGTGCTTTTGAACTCCAGAGTCATGTCACAGCCTGTATGCAGAGAGTTGAAGATGTGCTGGATCTTAAATTCTGCACTGATGGTGTTCAGACAGCACTTCAGAATGAAGATTATGAACAGGTTAGTAAAACAGGGTAGGGTTTCATCTTTAGCTGATCTCCTCACAAAATCATAAAGCACACTTAGAAGGTACAAGTCATATAACTGTAGTCTGTATTTCTAACAGCTAACACGTGTTAAAATAGTATTTACCAAGAAGATCATTAAGCACATTTAAGATGTTTGACAAGTACATATATGGATATGTAATAAGAAGGACCCAAGTTGCAAGATTTCAATGCATTTCTAACAGCTAATGCATGTAGTTAAATTAGTTACTTTTTTTAAGAAAAGAAAGTGTGTTATTGCTCATGATCAAAAGAAAATAAAAAAGAACTTGGTATAAAAAAGAAAAATTTTGCAACACTGATATTAAATGTAGCTATGGATGGAAGAATATTTTTTATTGTAGGCAGCAGCTCACATCCATAGGTTCCTGAGTCTGGATGAAAATGTCCTTAGGATGACAGAAGGATCAAATGAAGGTGAGAGACAATAAATAGCTGTTCTGGCTGTCCTCTATATATAATGGTGCTACAACTGGGAAAACATTCAAGATATAGGAAATAAGATATTGTGCGCTAAATGTTTGTTGCATTCAAGATATAGGAAATAAGATATTGTGCGATGAATATTTGTGTGTGAGTGTGACTGTTTGAAAGTAATTCTCTACTTGGACTACCGGAGGGAAACATTTTTGTTATAATTGACATCTTCAGAAATGGGTTACAGTGCTTTTTCTTCCATAATATTTTGGTTGACTGTGATTATGAAATCCTTGTGTGATATATTATTACATGTGGATCATGCTGTTTTTTATTGATGTTAAATTGACTTTGTTTCATTCCAGGCAGCACACTAGATACATCCTTCCAGTTATTACATGAAGCCGAGTCCAAGCTCAAGAAAATAGTTCACAAAAACTTCGACGCGGCTGTGCATTCCAAAGACGTAGCGTCTGTGGAGAGATTCTTCAAAATATTCCCTCTTATTAATCTTCATGATGAAGGGCTCACCAAATTTTCCAAATACTTGTCAGCCCAGGTATTGCTTTTTCATTATTTATTTTCCCTTTTAAACTTTTTAGCCTGTTTCTGATGTTAGTTTTGCTTGTTATTATCAAAATAAAGAGGCTAGCATACTAAACGGAATGAACTGTATACACAAATACAAACTGAAATCTTCTGTGCATTTAGATTTTTTCCCAGTGCATCAGATTGTACCATCAGAGTTATGACAAGGTCATATTTCTTTGAGTTGTAATTTGTGCAATAGAATAATCCTATTATTATTATTATTATTATTATTATTATTATTATTATTATTATTATTATAAACAGATTAAAACTGGTACTTTCAGATATCTGAGACAGCTGAGACCAATCTTAATCAAGCTTTAAGTGTGAAATCCAGTGACAAGCGTTCAACTGTGATCTTTGCTGATACAATCACATTGCTATTCGAGGGTATTGCCAGGGTGGTGGAAATCCACCAGCCCTTAGTGGAGACATATTATGGTAGGTTTTTAAAACATCGTCATGTAACAAACCTTCAAAGGTGTAATTAATAGTGTTAGGTATATTTAGTCACAC